CCAGACCAGAGACCAGAGACCAGAGGACCAGAGAGACCAGAAGACCAGAGACCAGAGAGACCAGAGACCAGAGACCAGAGACCAGAGAGACCAGAGACCAGAGACCAGAGACCAGAGACCCAGAGACCAGAGACCAGAGACCAGAGACCAGAGACCAGAGACCCAGAGACCAGACCAGACCAGACCACGAGACCAGACCAGAGAGACCAGACCAGAGACCCCAGGACCAGACCAGAGGACCAGAGACCAGAGACCAGACCAGACCAGACCAGAGACCAAGAGACCAGAGACCAGAGACCAGAGACCAGAGACCAGAGACCAGAGACCAGAGACCAGAGACCAGAGACCAGACCAGAGACCAGGAGACCAGAGACCAGAGACCAGAGACCAGACCAGAGACCAGACCAGGAGACCAGAGACCAGAGACCAGAGACCAGACCAGAGACAGAGACCAGGAGACCAGAGACCAGACCAGAAGAGACCAGAGACCAGACCAGACCAGAGACCAGAAACCAGACCAGAGACCAGAGACCAGAGACCAGAGACCAGAAGAGACCAGAGACCAGAGACCAGAGACCAGAGACCAGAGACCAGACCAGACCAGACCAGAGACCAGACCAGAGACCAGAGACCAGAACCAGAGACCAGAGACCAGAGACCAGAGACCAAGAGACCAGACCAGAGACCAGAGACCAAGAGACCAGAGAGACCAGAGACCAGAGACCAGAGACCAGAGACCAGACCAGAGAACCAGAGACCAGAGACCAGAGACCAGACCAGAGACCAGACCAGACCAGACCAGACCAGAGACCAGACCAGAGACCAGAGACCAGAGACCAGACCAGAGACCAGACCAGAGACCCAGGAGGACCAGAGCACCAGAGAGACAGAGACCAGAGACCAGAGCCAGAGACCAGACCAGAGACCAGAGACCAGACCAGACCAGAGACCAGAGACAGACCAGAGACCAGAGACCAGAGACCAGACCAGGACCAGAGACCAGAGACCAGACGACCAGAGACCAGACCAGAGACCAGAGACCAGAGAGACCAGAGACCAGAGACCAGACCAGAGACCAGAGACCAGAGACCAGAGACCAGAGACCAGACCAGACCAGAGACCAGACCAGACCAGAGACCAGAGACAGAGACCAGAGACCAGAGACCAGAGACCAGACCAGAGACCAGAGACCCAGACCAGAGACCAGAGACCAGAAGACCAGACCAGACCAGAGACCAGAGACCACCAGAGACCAGAGACAGAGACCAGACCAGAGACCAGAGACCAGAGACCAGAGACCAGAGACCAGAGACCAGAGACCAGACCAGAGACCAGAGACCAGAGACCAGAGAGACCAGAGACCAGAGACCAGACCAGAGACCAGCCAGACCAGACCAAGACCAGAGACCAGAGACCAGAGACCAGAGACCAGAGACCAGAGACCAGAGACCAGAGAGACCCGAGACCAGAGACCAGACCAGAGACCAGACCAGACCAGACCAGAGACCAGAGACCAGACCAGACCAGAGACCAGAGACCAGAGACCAGAGACCAGAGACCAGACCAAAGACCAGAGACCAGAGACCAGAGACCAGAGACCAGAAACCAGAGACCAGACCAGAGACCAGACCAGACCAGAGACCAGAGAGACCAGAGACCAGAGACCAGACCAGACCAGAGACCAGAGAGACCAGACCAGAGACCAGACCAGAGACCAGAGACCAGAGACCAGAGACCAGACCAGAGACAGAGACCAGAGACCAGAGACCAGAGACCAGAGACCAGAGACCAGAGACCAGAGACCAGAGACCAGACCAGAGACCAGAGACCAGACCAGAGACCAGAGACCAGACCAGACCAGACCAGACCAGAGACCAGAGACCAGACCCAGACCAGACCAGAGAGACCAGACCAGACCAGAGACCAGACCCCAGAGACCAGAGACCAGACCAGACCAGAGCCAGACCAGAGACCAGAGACCAGAGACCAGACCAGAGACCAGAGACCAGAGACCAGAGACCAGACCAGAGACCAGAGACCAGAGACCAGAGACCAGACCAGACCAGAGACCAGAGACCAGAGACCAGAGACCAGAGACCAGAGACCAGACCAGAGACCAGACCAGAGACCAGAGACCAGAGACCAGAGACCAGAGACCAGAGACCAGAGACCAGACCAGACCAGAGACCAGAGACCAGAGACCAGAGACCAGACCAGAGACCAGAGACCAGACCAGACCAGACCAGAGACCAGACCAGACCAGAGACCAGAGACCAGAGACCAGAGACCAGAGACCAGAGACCAGAGACCAGAGACCAGACCAGACCAGACCAGAGACCCAGACCAGAGACCAGAGACCAGAGACAGAGACCAGAGACCAGAGACCAGAGACCAGAGACCAGACCAGACCAGAGACCAGAGACCAGAGACCAGAGACCAGACCAGAGACCAGAAACCAGACCAGAGACCAGAGACCAGAGACCAGAGACCAGACCAGAGACCAGAGACCAGAGCACCAGAGACCAGAGACCAGAGACCAGAGACCAGAGACCAGAGACCAGAGACCAGAGACCAGACCAGAGACCAGACCAGAGACCAGACCAGACCAGAGACCAGAGACCAGACCAGAGACCAGACCAGAGACCAGACCAGACCAGACCAGACCAGACCAGACCAGAGACCAGAGACCAGAGACCAGAGACCAGAGACCAGACCAGACCAGAGACCAGACCAGAGACCAGACCAGACCAGACCAGACCAGAGACCAGAGACCAGAGACCAGAGACCAGACCAGAGACCAGACCAGAGACCAGAGACCAGAGACCAGAGACCAGAGACCAGAGACCAGACCAGAGACCAGACCAGACCAGACCAGAGACCAGACCAGACCAGAGACCAGAGACCCACAGTGTGACTTTAAACAGATCTACTTTACATTTATTCAGTTACAGGTGCAGGTTTTAGAATCAAAAATAACTTGAAAAACAGACACTGTGACTGTGAGCGAGGTCGCCTCTCCACAGATCTGACCTGGAACTTGGTCTGGTTTGGTCTCCATGACGATTAAAGCTGTGCAAAACTATCAAAATATCGACATATCGCATCGTTTACTGTATCGATATCGTGTTCTGTTGTATCGATATATCTCCAAGAGGATTTTTTTGGTAAATTTTACTAAATTATTTTGTTGAAGTGCTACAGTTTTAGAGGAAGGAAACTTATTTATGAGACATATTTGACATTTTGTAAAATATAAGACCTTTAAGAATCTGTGTCGTTCGTTTATTCGTTTTTCAAAATAAAAACAAAATTAAGAAAATTTAAAAAACAACAATTTTCTTCATTATTTGTCTCCAAAACCAAAATGAAAAAACAGATAATGATTCGATTTTTCAGTTTTTAATTTTGTGTTTAACTGAAAAATGGAAAAAACTGATAACGGACTGAACCAGGACTGAACCAGGACTGAAACCAGGACTAAACCAGGACTGAACCAGGACTAAACCAGGACTAAACCAGGACTAACCAGGACCAGACTGAACCAGGACTAAACCAGAAACCAGGACTAAACCAGGACTGAACCAGGACTAAACCAGGACTAAACCAGGACTAAACCAGGACTAACCAGGACTGAACCAGGACTGGAACCAGTGGAAACCAGGGGGTCGAGGTCCTGTCTTTCTCTCTCAAGTCCAAGATTAGTCCTGGTTCAGTCCTGGTTCAGTCCTGGTTTAGACCTGGTCCAGACCTGGTTTAGTCCTAGTTTAGACCTAGCTCAGTCCTGGTTTAGTCCTGGTTCAAACTTGGTTTAGACCTGGTTTAGTCCTGGTTTAGTCCTGGTTTAGTCCTGGTTTAGTCCTGGTTTAGACCTGGTTTAGACCTGGTTTAGTCCTGGTTTAGTCCTGGTTTAGTCCTGGTTTAGTCCTGGTTTAGACCTGGTTTCCTGGTTTGGTTAGTCCTGGTTTAGTCCTGGTTTAGTCCTGGTTTAGTCCTGGTTTAGTCCTGGTTTAGTCCTGGTTCAGTCCTGGTTCAGTCCTGGTTTAGACCTGGTTTAGTCCTGGTTTAGACCTGGTTTAGACCTGGTTTAATCATGGTTTAGTCCTGGTTTAGTCCTGGTTTAGTCCTGGTTTAGTCCTGGTTTAGACCTGGTTCAGTCCTGGTTTAGACCTGGTTTAGTCCTGGTTTAGACCTGGTTTAGACCTGGTTTAATCATGGTTTAGACCTGGTTTAGTCCTGGTTTAGTCCTGGTTCAGTCCTGGTTTAGACCTGGTTTAGTCCGTTATTTGTCTTTTCCATTTTTCATTTAAATCCAAAATTTAAAACTAAAAAAAAGAATCATTATCTGTTTTTTCATTTTGGTTTTGGAAACAAATAATGAAGAAAATAGTTGTTTTTTCATTTTCTTTTTTTTTTTTTTTTTTTTTTTTGAAAAATGAATGAACAAATGACACCCAGATTTTTTTTTTTATTTCTTAAATAAACCCGTGTTCCTCTTTGTGTCTCTGTGTTTTTTTTTTTTCGTGCAGGTATCTCTTTGCCTTACAGATTCGTCAGGATCTTTCCAACGGAGGCCTGACGTGTAACGACAACAGCGCCGCCCTGCTGGTCTCGCACATACTGCAGTGTGAGTGTGGCCTGTGTCTGTACAGTGGCGGGAGGTTCAGTTTCACTTTCACTTTCAGTTTCAGGAGTAAAGACGCTGTTTGTGTTTGTGTTTTTGTTTGCGTTTTGCAGCAGAAATCGGCGACTACAACGAGGAAATGGACTCTCAGCACTTAGACATGAAACAGTACGTCCCCAATCAGGAATATCTGGACCACAAGATCATCAAACTGCACAAGAAGCACAGGTGAAGAAGATTTATATTTACAGTCATGTTTAAAAACGGTACGTCGGCCTAATGGCATTGTTCCCATTAGCCTTTAGCAGTAAATGCAAGTGCGCCGCAGTATTTAATCATATTATATGTGTAAATGTCGATCATTCACACTTCTGTTCACAGCTCATGTACACGTCAACACAGGTCCAGTCACATGTACAGACACTACAGTCAAATAATAAACCCTGATCAACACCAGTTTGGTCGAAACATGTCGGCTTTGGTCATCTAAAAAAAGGCCTTTTAACTATATTTTTCATCGTGCCATTTTGCCTGGAGTCACTTGTGTCTAAAGTTTCGATCCTTCTCCCTCCACCTGATCTCACGGATTGTAACACCTGCAGCAAACAACAACATTTTTGTTTTTTCAGTCACTAGAGTCACTTTACACCAGGACAATGTGATAAAAAAAACTGAGTGTTTATGTGAAACTACAGCAGCGAAACAAAGAGAAAAAAACCAAAACACTCACACAGGCTCCTCTCAGATCACAAGTCTGAACTAACAAGTGCCATTTTAATCTTCACTTAAAGGTTGTATGAAGGATTTTTTTTTTTGTTTCAAATTGTCAGTGAAAGTTTAAAATACCATTACAGAGACGCAGCAGCCTTGTAATTATGATGACCAAAAAAAAAAAAAAAGAAAATCTATCAACTGTGGACGTGTTGAGGCCAGATAAACATCAGCCAATAGAAAACAAGGCTACCTCATTTTCTATTGGCTGTTAGGTTGTCAATCAAACTTCTTACGTTTCTAGTGTAACTGACTCGTCGGAGCGCGGGGATCGTGTGGTTTATGCAGCGGTTCTTAGCGGGGTTTTTTTAAACTGTCGCTTCCTCGCAGTTCGCACAGAAGTTTGTCGCGACGGCGGATGAGAATCCACGACCAGTTCGCCGCCAAAGAAAGTCCGTTTTTGAGGTCGCTGAAAGAAGAAGAAGAGAAGGAGGAAAAGGAGCGAAGACAAACTGAGGTGATTCTTGGAGATCTCGTCCAGCGATGGCGCGACTGAAGCGGACGAAGGGTCTAAAAACTGACACGTCGGTCGCTGAATTACTTCTAGACGGGAAACTTCAACAGTGATTCTGAACGCGCACCGGCTGTAAACAAGTGTGATTTCTAGAGTAAAGAGGCGGGAGGAGGTGATGTTTCTACTGAGGAGCTGTGGAGGAGGAAGGTGGTGTCACACACGCACAACATTTGAAAAAGGACGGTCGCTGTATTTCTCTTCCCTTAAAAAATCCTCTATACAACCTTTAAAACTGTTATCGTTTGTAAAAAATAATATAATCCAACATGTTTCTTATTTTTCTTATTTTATTTATTTGTAAAGGGACAGTACATATTAGTGAACATAAAAAATGTAAATATGTAAAGATTATAGCCAACGTGGCTCATTTCCATCTTCAGTCCCTCGGCAGCTTGATGTAAAATCATCTACAGGACGAGGAAAAGTACAGCAACAATCACACAAAAGTACACAACACCAGCACACACACTGTACACACAACACCAGCACACACACTGTACACACAACACCAGCACACACACTGTACACACAACACCAGCACACACACTGTACACACAACACCAGCACACACTCACTGTACACACAATTAGTTTCAAACAGTTCATTTGAAGTTCAAAGTCAGAAGTTTAAGAATTAAGTCAAGAGTTAAACCAACAACTCCTCAAAATAAAAGAAAATGTAAATTGGTTAAACATGGAGACATATTTGACCATTGAGTAACGGCTGTTTTAAAGTTTTAGAAAACGCTGCAGTGTTGAAAGTTCTCGTACATGAGCTGCTCTGTGTCCATGTTTGAGCAGCTCGATAAGTAAAAAAAGGACAACAGCTGTGCGAGTCCTCCGTCTGCGGGACAGTCCTCCGTCTGCGGGACAGTCCTCCGTCTGCGGACAGTCCTCCGTCTGCGGGACAGTCCTCCGTCTGCGGGACAGTCCTCCGTCTGCGGACAGTCCTCCGTCTGCGGGACAGTCCTCCGTCTGCGGGACAGTCCTCCGTCTGCGGGACAGTCCTGTGTCTGCGGGACAGTCCTCCGTCTGCGGGACAGTCCTCCGTCTGCGGGACAGTCCTCCGTCTGCGGGACAGTCCTCTGCGGGACAGTCCTGTCTGCGGGACAGTCCTCCGTCTGCGGGACAGTCCTCCGTCTGCGGGACAGTCCTCCGTCTGCGGGACTTTTCGTCGTCTTTTCTCTGCTCTCACACTTTGATAAAAACATCAGTAGTTTTGTTTGTGTTTTAAACTTTGCTGAAGTTCTTTTTTTAAATTTCTGGTCAGTGTCTTCGATCAGACACAAGAACGTTTAAAGTCTCGGTGTTGCACTGGTGTAAACAAAAGCACCAGGGTCATGTGACTCTGGTGGTGCGTTCAGGGACAGTACGGTGTGATATTTGGACATTTATGTGTCTGTAAATTGAATTAAGTCGACGTAATATACAGAGTCTGAGTTTTAGATCGACGTAGAACACACATGTGGATTATTGACCCAGATCAGATTTAGGATGACAGTAATATGTCTCCAAGAGCCCATATCGGCCGATATATCGGTCAGACCCTAATGGTAATGCTAACAAAGAACTAGCATGAGAACGACACACTTCCG